TGAAACATTTTTAAAATGTTGAAACTAAGCATTTTTCCTAATTTTAATAATTCAATTTCCAAATTTTTTCCTGATATACTTTACAAGGCCTCTGATATGCCAAAGTAAAAATTTTTATTTTAATAAAGCCTCTATTTCATATTTTCCTTTAACTCAACAAATGTTTTAATTGCAATTTTCCATAATAAATTACACTCACGCATGTACATATATACACACATCCACAAACCATACCATATACACACCATGCACGCGCGCGCGCACATGTGTGTAGTTCTTTTGAATATTTTTTTTTTTTACTCGTGTTTGCTTTCGAGATGCAAGCTAGAAGTGTAAGTAATTACTTGATATTATCATTTGATGTTAATGTGTAAACTATATTACAATTAATACAAGATAACTAGAGACTTGTTTGTTACTCTAAATCTTTAAATTGTATATATTTGTACAATTTTTTATTAGATGCATATGTTATGCTGCAATGTCAGTGCTATACTATGTTTTTCTTTTTTATTCATGGAATATGAAGATGTGTTTTTTAGTTTATTAAAAATATTAATTTTGATTTTAATTTTCTTATAAAGACAATTTATAACTTTGTTTTTTATTAATTCTAATAATTTATATTTTCCTTTTCATATTACAAATCTATTGTACATGTTTATCGTTTTGTTTTAGATCTCACAAATGCAACCAGTCAAATATGAAATCTTCCCGCTTTCACCTTTATCTAGGCACAGACTTAGTAGGTATCTCGATGATGTGTATGAACTTTAAACTTGTTACATTGTCTTCGATAGTTTTTAGTATTTGTGTTTAATGCAAGGATGTTTCAGGTATAGTTAAGAGAAAAGTATTAGTATTGGATTTAGATGAAACATTAATTCACTCTCATCACGATGGAGTAGCAAGGCCAACTGTCAGGCCTGGTACACCTCCAGATTTTGTTCTTAAGGTGACGATAGACAGACATCCTGTTAGATTTTTCGTCCATAAAAGACCACACGTAGATTTCTTTTTGGATATTGTTAGTCAGTGGTAAGTATCATATAAAACAAGACTACCTGAAAATTATACTGACGAACAAATTTTACAATTTTATTTATAAACTTTTGTCATGTTTTAAAATAATATTACATTAACTATTTTCCATTATTTATATCAATTAGGTACGAGCTAGTAGTCTTTACTGCATCCATGGAAATTTATGGGGCAGCGGTTGCAGATAAACTAGATAACAACAGGGGCATTTTAAGGCGCAGATATTATAGACAACATTGTACACCAGAAATGGGTTCCTATACCAAGGACTTATCAGCAATTTGTTCAGATCTCTCTTCAGTTTTTATTCTTGATAACAGCCCAGGCGCTTATAGAGCCTATCCACGTAAGTATATATAAATATATATAAATGATTTTTTTATAAAGTACATATTAGACTTGATAAGACAAAAGGCACTTTTTATTTTTCTTCAAATATATTTAACATTATTTGTAAAATGTATGTAATTTTTATTATAATATATACGCGCACACGCATACACACGCACACGAGCTTTATATCGTATAGAGGAATCGAAAAGAATAATGTGTTATACATCGTTATCTCTTCTTTTTTTATATCATAGACAACGCGATACCCATTAAATCATGGTTCAGCGATGCGGGAGACACCGCTTTATTAAGCTTACTTCCAGTCTTGGATGCTCTTCGTTTCACGCAGGATGTACGATCTGTTCTTTCAAGGAATTTACACTTACATCATACTTGGTAGCATAGTTGAGATTGAGCGATACCCTAGATATTCTAGAGTTGAAACTGCTAGCAGTTTCAGTTAGCGTGTCTAGCCTAGGATTATTATTGTTATTAATTAATAGTAATATTAGGTCGCTGCCCGTATAATGAGAGAGAGCGAGAGAGAGAGAAAGAGAGAAAGAAAGAAAGAGTATGTGTTTTTTTGGTCCTTGTTTTTCTATACTCGAATCAACAATGGCGAGTAAATACCGAAGGAAATGGTATACAGCCAATAATTATGTTAGCACAAAACATCCTAGGATAATCCTTTGCGTTGTACAGTCCATATGTGCAAAATCATAAAATGAATTTCTTTACTTTTTCTGTTATATAAGACCTCCTTGCCAAAGAACAAGATACGAAAATAAGATACAGCCGCGCTAGCGGGCACCAGCAGGATTTTTCGTTTTAGATAAGGATTATACTTGAAGTTTTTATTTATATATTTGGATGGCACATCATGTGAAGAAGATAAATAATTGAAGTAAAGTACTTTTGTTATTGTATATTACTAACCTAGGATGTATAGAAAGAGAGAGATGTACCTAAGTCAAATGGATTTCGCTGTAACTCACTGTATCAGTGAGGCAGCTATCCTGGTTATATCGAATAAAAAAAGTATTAATATAAAACCAGGAAAGAGTGACATCTGTTCTCGTCAAGACTTCCGCGATATGAAATATATGTATACAATTATGCTCTATAATATTCATTGCGTTGCACACGCTCTTACAAAAAGAGTTTATAACATGCGACTCATCAATACTTTTGATTTTCACCGTGTAAAATAGCTCTAATTATCTACATAAACAAAAATTGTGCTTCTAAAAAATTATAGAGAAACTTGATTATGAATATCTAGATGTGTAATTCGTTCAAACGTTCATTGATCATATCGTAAACTTTCTGGATAATAATTTCAAGATTGTAAAATTGAGACAAAATCAATGTACATCTTTGTAATTCTCATTTTATTCTTATTTTCTCACTACATTATATTCAAAATTTTATTTTTTATAATAAAACATTAATTATAATAAAAGAAGCTCATTACACATGATTATACATAATTATTTTTCTGCGAATTATATTTTATGTATCTCATACACACACACACACACACACACACACACACACACATACACACACACATACACACGCGCACGCGCCACAACACGCTAAAATTTCATTTAATAATTCATATTACAAAGATGTGAGAATTGAAGATCAAGATAAGTCTCAATTTGTAATCTTAAGGACTATTATCTACATTAACAAACAACTAAAATTTTATCTTAGAAGAAAAAATATGCAGCATACACTTATAATAATTCCAAGTACTTAAAACATTATAACAATAAATTTTTCTAGCTTAGGGAATACGTTTTTTTCATCTAAACAGTTAATTATATACTTTATTTATTTTATACTTGTGAAAAATTAAAAAAATAGTATGAATCACATGTCATGAGCTTTCCTTGTAAGTATGATGTAAGAGCAAATATACATACATACGTACGTACGTACGTACGTACGTATACACACACACACACACACACACACACGCGCGCGCGCGCGCGCGCGCGCGCGCGCATGTACATATATACATTTGTGTACTTTATTTGTTTGTTTAGTGATACAACAATATCGAATATTATACAGTTTGTACATATTATTCGGAATGTATTTGACGCAACTCAAGTGTGACTGATATTTGTATGAATGATCGATATAAGTATGTTACAATACATGGACTTCATCTAATACACATGTGTGGTGTATGTATGCGTGCGCGCACATACACGCACGCAAACACAAACACATGCATTTATACATAAATGTAAAATCAATTTATTCAACCTATATAAAAAAAAAAACAATACGCCCATGTGTACAAGAGATCTAGCGATATCGAACATCCTTCAATAAAGATTTTTTAATTAAAGTTATCGTTTATCTATTATATATCGTGATACTTGCATGCTTTCTCTGTTACACATAAAAATCAATCATCTTCTCAAAACATAAACTATAAGCAATGCATATAATATTCTATGCAAAATGGAAATCAAGTTAATTTATTTATTCAATAAAATTATATCTGTACACATATATGACATTGTTCATACTGTAACGCAGATACGGATAGATGGAAATATACTTATTTCTCAGTAATACAATTCCATTTTCGATACAAGATTTGTAAATATGATACTTTGTATTGTAACTGTCTTTGATGTTTTTAATTCTAGAATCGAATATTAATATTTACATACATGTTACATATATTAAGCGATTTACTTTTCATGATATGTAGAAAATTGCTACGCATCTTTATATCTATAATTTATATGAAACAACCTAATTCTTACAAATTTATACACAAGGACATTTCCTATATACTAAATATATAATCCAAGCCAATAAAATCGAAAACATCTCTTCTGCTCATGTAAAGACTTTTCAAAAGAATTAAAAAATTTCTGGTTATATATCTCAATTCTTTTCATTTCTCTTATATTTGTACTGTGATAATATAAAGTATCAAAGTAAATTTATTTAAGAATCTATTAATAGTCTATTTAAATCTTACACAAAAACATATTTTATTAAAGATCGCAAGTGAAAATCTGCAATTATATTTTAATTTAATACATTGATTCGATCGGTTTTTATTATAGTAAGTGACACAATTAATATATAAACTTGTTTCTCATCTATTATACATTAAAGGTCGTTCTTTGTAACATTAGAACACTGGTCGATAAATATTAAAACATTTATAAAATCATGAATACCACCAAAACGCAAAGTTAATGCTAATATATGTACAAGATGTTAAAAAAAAAAAGAGCCAACCATCAGTTCCAAACTTTTTCTTTTTTACATCCTGTATAAAAATATGAAACATTTCTCTAATATTACATACTATTGCAACTATGATCTTTTTGCTTCAATATATTATATCCAAGTATATCATATATCGAAGATTCATTATGGAAGAAGCAATGATAAACACAACAAAATTCCTAAACTCCTAAACTTATTCTTTGGGTGGATCTTCTCGAATCATTTCCAAAGAACTATCCGAATTGTTAGTACTACTTCCACTTCCAGCATCATCCTCTCGTTCAGTTGTTTTTTCTTGATTTACATTCGTTGCGCTTAACTGCCATGGTGGTATAGACGCCGGGGCAGTAGGAAATTGTTTCCTATTTCAAACGTAATTGGAAATTACGAATAGATAAACGTAAGTTGTAGACAAATTATAAAAATGATTTATAATTAGCTTTTATGTGTTAAATGATATGAAAAAATACATGTATATAATCCAATTAGAAAGTTGTTCGGAATAAAAGATTATTTCAAAAATAGATTGTCAAACATAGGAGTAAAATAAAACACAAATTTATATTTTAAAATTATATTCTGTAAAATCGAGTCTTGATTAAAAAAAAAAATCAGAATATTCAGATATAAATTTTTTTAAGCAATCTCAAATGGAACTGTACAAAATTTGTATTTGTACAATATGTACAAGAGTGCATGGGTTTGATCTCTTGTAAAAAAAAAATTATCTTAATGTAAGTAATTACCATATGTGAAAATAAAATGGTAACTGATGTCCAAATAAAACAATTTCGTTTTATGGTATAAAATGTGATATTAATGTGCATACATTATTCTATGTTCAGCATATGTTGACATATGATAAGTTGTGGATGTTAATATTAATGTTTATGAAAAAAAAAAGAAAATGGGAATATACCTTGATAAAAGTAAAGCTTTTAGACTAGATAAATCCTGTTTAAGTTCTTGTACCAGTTGTGGGATAGTTGGATCCAGCGCTTGATGTTGAGTTAATTTTTGCACTTCATTTTCTATTTTTGAAATAGAATCTTTTACATCTTTCATAGAAGTTTGGACGGTTTTATCTAATTCCGTTACTCTATCTTCTACACTTCTCTTCTTTCTTCGACCAAACAGAAAAGGTTCTATAAATTTCTGCAAAATTAAGAATTATATTTGAATGTAAATAAAATTTGCAAAATTTATAAAGATAATTATATAATTTATATTTTATTCAGTGATCAGTCAATTAGTATAAAAATAAAAAAATATATTAAACTTTTCAAATACCTTATATGAAAAATGAATATATCAATTTCTTTGTATTATATAAAATACCTTATAAAACCAATAAGTGCAGTATACTGTCATGCCAATTAATGCAGCTGCATTAAAGAATTCTTTGACTTTTTGTAAAAGTGTCGGTTGGTAAATGCTCATTTGACGATACGAATGAATAGATCCTTGTGGCATTTGTATAGCAGTATATGGATTCTGACTAGGATTCGAAAAGGCATTTTGATCTGCTATATTGTCGACAGATGCTAGTTTGAAAGCCATTTTAATTTCCTCGTCTGTAAGGCCTTTTCTTTTCAGAAATTCCTGCTTTTGTTTCAACGGACTTGATGTCACTTTAGGATTTTGCAGAAACTGAACTGCTGTTTTTACCTTTATAAATTTTTATATTTTTTAAACATATAACACATGAAATTATTATATTAAAGTAATATACGTGTGCACGTGTTTATCGATCGTAACTTCATCTATTATACGTCTAACTAGATACATGTATAACATATTAGTTGAATTTACAAAATTACAGATGCACATTGCAATTTTTAAATTTACTTAACCCAAATACGATCGACAATGACTTACCAAATTCTCCCGTAATAGAAGAGTATTATTATTCGTATCTTGATCAGTCATTCTGAATAATTTTTGACCATTCGACTCTCACGTCTTACAATCAAAATGACATACCACTATGCAAAGTCCTATATTGTAAGCTGCAAATCACATTGTAATGATAAAACAATCACAATACATGTGTGTATGTAATGCGCCTGCGCGAAACCAAGTGACATAAATGCGGTCCAATCGGCGCTACAAATGCTTCGAAGCATTTGACTGACTAATCGAAAAATTTCCGATATCCATTTCTACCAATGTAGATTAATTTTAAATCTATTCTTTATTTTTTCTAATTTTTCCGCAAATTTTCCAAATGGAAAATTTGTCCACAGGTTAAACAATAAACGCGATTGGTCCATTCCAATGGAATAATCGATCGATTATTAACTTAACCGGAGTTGGTGAAAGTATGGCACTCGAAGCCATTTTGCAATTTTGCAAAATAATTTGATTGGAGCCGTCGGAACAGTTGCCCAATCGTTGTACAGCTTCTGAAGAAAAAGCATCCGTGACGATATATAGTGGCGATGTAGTGGCGCTACGCCATCTTTCGAACGCTTGGCAGACTTCTTGGCGCGTCAATGATATCAACCTAAAAATCTAGTATGGCGTTTATTGTGAGAGCAGCTGCTTGGATTATTTGAAAATACCTCTGTCTCTCTCTCTCTCTCTCTATCTCTATCTCTTTGTCTCTCTCTCTCTCTGTGATTGATAATCAGCCGGTAGACGAAAAGTAGCAAAAGTCTTACGCTAACGCTAAGCCTTTTGTAATTATCGAATTCCACACTCGCTATTCAATCATTTTTATCATAATCATCATCTGTAATCGTGTAATAATGACGGATCGAACCGAGTTGAGAATGAACGTGGCTGCTTTGAAACGAGTTGATCCTTACGTCAAGGATATCTTGGAAACTGCGACTCATGTCGCTCTGTATACATTTAATGCGGATGAAAATGAATGGGAAAAGACTGACATTGAGGGCGCTCTATTCTTGTATTCGAGAAACGGCGAACCATACAACAGTATCCTCATTATGAACAGGTAATATATACACGCACATACATATACATATCACATATACATGCCCCACACACACACACACACACAGACACACACACACGCACACGCACACGATGTAGGTACATATATATATATATATATATATAAATCCTATACAGAAATATTATTTAAAGAAATATAGCATACGATGTTTTATTTGTATCTCTAATGATTTACTTTCGGGAGATTTGCAAACTATTTTTGCCTAAATTTAATATTTTTCGTTTAATTGTATATTGAGTCTTATCAATAATCTAGATGCTCTATGAAGAATATCTTTATTACAGATTGAATACAAATAATCTAGTAGAACCAGTTGCTCCAGGTTTAGATTTGCAACTGCAGGAACCATTTCTGCTATACAGAAATTCCAGATGCAATATCTATGGTGTTTGGTTTTATGAGAAAGAAGAATGTGTGCGTATTGCAAATATGCTGAATAAACTTTTGAAGGAATGTGAAGAAAGTCGCAAAATTAATAACAAGCCGCTACTTAAGGCTAAAAAGACCTCGGGATCTAATGTAAACAATGTGGATATATTCAGTATGCTTAGCAAGGCCCAAGAAGACTTTAACACAAGTAGAAGTAGCGGAGGAGGTGGAGGTGGGAGCGACAGCGGTAACATGGTAACAGGATCAAAGTCTCCATCGATAACGCCATTGACTGATAATATTTCTGGACCTCTAGCTGCTCCCTTAGGACCCGATGTCACTTCGCAAAGTGTAATGGATTTTTTTGCTAAAGCTAAGGTTAATGTTGTACCACATCTGAGTTTTAGGATGAAATTTCTATTTGATTTGATATTAATCTAGTCTCCATTTTTATCGGACAGGTGAATACTGGACATTTCAAACCAAGTGATCAACCTACGCCGGGAAGCACAGTTGCAGTTGAGAGTAAACCTTTACTCGCCCGTTTAATGTCCCATCCGGCAGCGCATACTTTAGAACATATCGAGAAACAACAGAGATCTGTAACACCGCAACCATCTCATCAGTCACAGCCGACGTCAATTCCATCCACAAATAAACCCAAAAGACGAAACAAGACAACTCCGCAACAAGAATCGGTCATATCCACGTCAGCGCCAATTTCTCAAGATTTGCCGCTACCTATCACTCCGAATGTCAATGACTCGAACGGATCGACTGGATTTCTCAGGATACAATCGCCGACTAACGTAGCGTCTTCTACTTTAAGAAATCATCAAGCTTCGAATGTTACTACAACCAACAATACCAATCCACTTGCGTCATTATTTGCTCATGCTTCTGGAAGTACGGTAAGAATATTCAATTTTTTAATTTATGTGTGTGGTGCGCGTGCGTGCGCGTGTGTAGTGTATAAAAAAAGTGTGTATGTGTGTGTGTATATGTGTGTGTGTGTGTGTACACAGCACGATATGCTTGAGAACTCTTGTTTAATTTAGTCATCAGACGATATTATCCCGGCGGCACCTACGTTGTCGGGAAGAGGATCGGCGCCAGCATTGATACCACCTGTGATGTTTGCCGCTCCCAGCCCACCCGAACCCTTAAGCAGACCGTTAGAACCGTTAACGAGGAATCAACTTTTACAAGCATTCAATTACCTGTTGAAAAGTGATCCAGATTTTATCAACAAACTTCACGAGGCCTATGTCAAATCGTTTGGAGAAATACTTTCTTAAAGTCCTCACATTATTGTATTAATCACGAAATACCCCTTGTGGATTGTGACTGATAAGGATTAAGCTAAATCTCAATATTCTCAGATTACATGTGCATGTACATAATAAGTGAAATGTACGATGCCCGACTCAGTTGAGAAGATACAAATCGCTTTTTTTAAAGAAAAGGAACATTTCTTTCCCGGCCGAAGATTAGAAAGCAGACACGAATAGAAAACTATATGATGTAATACCTCGAACAGTATTTTTATAAAACAATGCACTTTCTTTCTGGATAAAAGTAAAGCGATGACGTACAATGACACA